ACTTCTCAGGGGGGCGAGCGCCGCGTCCATGCACTTCGTAAATGTACGGGGTGCTAGAGACAGGCTGAACGGCAGGACGGTGTATTGATATACCTGACCGTCGAAGGCGAATCTCAAAAATCGCCTGTGACGGGGTATTATCTGAATCTGAAAATAGGCATCCTTCAGATCTAGAGAAATAAACCAGTCCCTCGGGCGAACGTGCGCGAGGATTTTTCTGGTCGTAAGCATTTTGAACGGTCTTTTCGCAAGCACCTTGTTCAAATGTCTCAGATCGAGGATGGGCCTGAAGGCTCCGTCCTTCTTGGGTACGAGAAAATATCGGCTGTAAAAGCCTGACTCGCTCAGAGAAGGCGGTACCCTTTCTATTGCCCCTTTGCACAGCAGCTTTGCTATTTTTGCGTGAAGTAGGTGTGCTACTTCCGCATTCACTATCGTCGCGGTCCGGGCTCGGAAGCGCGGGGGACGGCGAATGAATTGAAGTGTATAGCCATGCTTTATTGTGCTCAGCACCCATTCTGAAACCCTTGGGATAGCTTCCCATGCAGCTACGTGAGCCGCTAGGGGGCGAATGGCCTCCAGGTTCAGATCGCCGCCATTCGCGGGCTTGTGAAAACTGAACAGGAGCCGAAAGCGTGGCGCGCGCGCTCTCGGTTCTGGGCAATGGTTGCTCGCTGAAAACCGAAACCGGCTGATTTATGTGGGATGTCCCAATCATAAGGGTGGGGAACATTCTCTTTCCACTTTTTGTCGCGCGAGCAGCGCTCTGGGCGGAGAAGCTTTCTGTAAGCGTGAACGCGTGTGCGCGGGCACGAGACTTACAAGTGTATTTGACGCCCCGATCGAATAGGATGGGGAGCGTCTAATTAACGCCCTGCGCCTTGTGATAACACTTAGACGCGCGGGCGGCGCCCGGGGAGAAGTGTGTGTTAGTAAGCGTGAACGCTCTCTGGCGGGCACGAGACTTACATTCATAACCTGCTTCATTGACCGTGTTACAGAGCGGGCAGACAGTGGGCACAAACCTGTGGACACATTTCTTACACTCAACACTCGAGCGGCTTTTCTGCGCTTTATGAGAGTGTGCTCTGTGAGTGACACGGAACGTGTTGTGCTTGTGTGTAGGGGTGAACACTGGGGCGTGGGCACTTTCACTACACTTAAGACACCAACGGCGTGAGCCGGATAACCAGACACTATACTCTTTTGAGATTTCTCTGGGTCGCCGTGAAGACGGCGTATGTGTGCAGGCGAGAGGGTAAATGAACCGGCTCGTTGGCTGCTAAATGGACCACTGCAGTAGCCTGTTTGAAGGGGACTGACAGGGAAATAAACTTTGACGGCGGTCCGGCCGCAGCGGGACACGCGCGTCTTTCTCTCTCATAGTTTGATATGAGTCTTTAGTGATAGAGCGGGCAGAAAAATAGGCGTGGGCACGAACTCGTGGACACATATCCTACGTTCAACACTCGAGCGGTTTCCCGCTTTAAGGGAGTGGGCTCTGTTCTGTGAATAACACGGGAAGTGTTGTGCTTGTGTGTAGGGGTGAACACCGAGATGTGGGCACCTTTCTACACTAAAAAACACCATCGGCGTGAGCCGGATCCGAAAACGGCGGCTTGCTGAGGAGAGCCGCATAAATTGTATCTGCTGCGGGAGCCAGGATCGAACACGGGTCTCTGGCGCGAAAGCTTAAGGTTTAGCCACTGAGCCACATGGGGAAACAACGTAAGCTTTAGTTGGCGCGAGCAGATAAGAGAGAGAGCGTCATCACAGTTTTCGTGTGCGTGTCGGCATTGTCTGCAGGCGTGCGTGTTATAACAGGCTCTCTACTGCAGTATAGACATTACCAGCCGCTCGAACTAGGAGGAGCTGGAAAATGTTTGAGAAAAAGAGGGGGTTTGTCAAGCCTCGGCGGGACAAAAAACCACTCTTTCCTTCTTTCGCCGGTGACGCATGCGCTCGGGGCGCGCGCTCGCTTTCTGTACGTAAGAAAGCTGGTCGCGCGAGCTGCATAAATTTTATCTGCTGCGAGAGCCGGGATCGAACATGGGTCTCTGGCGCGAAAGCTTAGAGTTTAGCCACTGAGCCACGGGGGAAACAACGTAAGCTTTAGTTGGCGCGAGCAGATAAGAGAGAGAGCGTCATCACAGTTTTCGTGTGCGTGTCGCTCGGGGCGCGCGCTCGCTTTCTGTATGTAAGAAAGCTGGTCGCGAGCTCAGAGAGGAGAGCTGCATAAATTGTATCTGCTGCGAGAGCCGGGATCGAACACGGGTCTCTGGCGCGAAAGCGTAGAGTTTAGCCACTGAGCCACGGGGGAAACAACGTAAGCTTAAGTAGCGCGAGCAGATAACAAAGAGCGCGCGCGGCAGCTTCCTTGTAACGTAAAGGAAGCTAGCCGCGGTTAGAACAGCAGTCCATTGTGGCGTGTCCCTCGACCTCATCCTCGGACGCGACGGCAGTGAGGCTCGTGAGCGGCAGCTGCGTGTCGGTGAAGGGAGGCGGGGAAGGTAAAAAAGCGAGGCTCGAGGGAGGCTTTCCGGCGAGCGCGTCGCTGTGGCTACAGGCTCCGGCTGCCTTTGGGAACGGCGCTTATCACTGCGCGGTCCCACAAAGGGCGGAGTGACTGCTTCTGCGGGGGCGCGGTAGCTTCCTTGTAACGTAAAGGAAGCTAGCCGCGGTTAGAACAGCAGTCCCTTGTGGCGTGTCCCTCAACCTCATCCTCAGACGCGACGGCAGTGAGGCTCGTGAGCGGCAGCTGCGCGTCGGTGAAGAGAGGCGGGGAAGGCGAGAGCGAGGCTCGAGGGAGGTTCTCCGGCGAGCGCGTCGCTGTGGCCACAGGTTCCGGCTGTCCACAGGAAGTGCGAGGCATCTTGAAAAAGACGCTCGCTGCTCTTTTAGGAGTAAGAGAAAAGAGAATACAACAACAATGTAAAAAGGATACGTCGCCGGATAGCGTAGCTCGCACGGATGGCTGAAGGTGGCAAAGACGGCCGGCTTCCTCAGCGCTGTCCTGGCTGGCTGTTCGCTGTCTCGACGGCGACGGTGGCTTCCCTCAATCCAGCGATGCGAAGAGCTCGCTGAAGAGTCGAAAAATCAGGGAATTCAGCCTACGAGCCCCTTCTTTTATACGCTAAGCCACGCCCATTCTGGCGGGCTGTGAGGCTATGAAGGCGCGAGCGCCCTTCATTGGGCGTGACGTCACGCCGGGCTCACTGGTAGGCTGCAGCAGTTGCCTGCAGGGCAGCCAATGAGCACGCTAGACTGCCTGCTCTAGGTCTGCTAGCTGCTGCACTGCGTTGACAATGAATACAAAATTAGGATAATTTTTTGGCTTCAATATCTCGAGAAGATGAATCTTTCCCGTAGCGTAGCTAAACTTACGCAATACGAGAGAACCTCTCGTAAGAGAACTGAGCATTACAAATGCATGGCTGAAGTTTATTTTTAATGATGCGCCTGAGTGACTGATGAATAAAGTTTTAATTGTTCTTGATACTTCACAACGGACTGTTTTGTGAATTATTGGCACCCTTGATATGTGATTTATATGAGCAAAACTGACTGTGTGTTTTTTGTTTTGTTTTTGTTTTTTTGTGCAATTTCTCCTGTTAGTCTTTCATTCAAAATATTCACAAAAATTTTGTATTTGGATCATTGTCATGCTGGAAGATCCGACCAGCAGTTTTTTTTCTATTTGACTTTAATTAAAGGTTAGATTTTTGTGAATATTTTGAATGAAAGAGTAAGAGGACTAAGAATGAAAGACTAAGTCAGTTTTTCTCATATTTATCAAGGGTGCCAATATTTGCGGAGCCCACTGTACATTTATTTTTAATCTGAAACCATGTCTACACAGGATGCAACAGTTGTCGCGTTGCAAATCTATTTGTTTTTTCTTTGTGTCATAAGTAGCTTGAGCATAGAACCATCTGTGCAATGTCTCCAGTTCTTATGTCTGCTGTCCAGCAAGGCTCAGATAATGCAGATTCTTCTGTTCCTCCTTTTAGTATGAGTCATCTTGAGCCATATCTTTGGCGCTTGGAACACTAGGGTGTTCAAGGTAAGAGGGCGAACCGCAAGTTCATCCTATTTTTATAGCATCTCCTTTTATAGATGTTTATATAAGGTGTCAAGAAAAGACAGAATGAAGGTTTTCATTCTATTTAGGCCGTAGTGACAGTCATCCTTCAGTCTCACAGATCCGTAGTCAAATTCATTACTTATAATAACCTCAAGAAACAAACATGATATAAAAATCTGAAACTGAATTTTATGACCCCCTGAAAATAGAAAAGTTATTTGAAATTGTAATTTTTTAATCAAACAAATACAACCTTGGTGAGCATAAGACACTTCAAATACAGAAAAAACATTAACAAAACGTATTATTCCAAAATTTAGCTGGTAGTGTAGCTCCAAAATGAACGTTTAACGGTAAACATGTTTAAGATTAGTATACAGGCTGTCAATTCATCAGCTGTGATCAGCGATTTCCTCACAAAAGTCAGTGTACTGAACTCAGTGCTTTGAATCCACTTTTCTATTGACATCCATTAAAAAAAAAAAAAAACATTAATCTCACTCCCTAGGCGCATAACAATGCTAGTGATAATCATGCCCCAAAATATCACAATGACAATATTATATTTTACGATGATAAAATGACCATGCCCTTTGCGTCAGTGTATTTACAGCAAATATTTCTCATTGAAAGCATGGGATTACTGGCAGTGTTTGAATAAAGATGCCAGAGGGCAATTTTGCTGGGTATAGTGACACGCAAAAGTGGTTCTGAAAGCGATAGCGATGGCATGCAAATTGACAGAACTAACTATAGCTTCCAAATTGGCTAGTATACTGTTACCCGCCATGGGGGATTTTCACCTACATTTGGCAGGTGTTAATTTTAAGCCCTGATTATGGCCTCATTGAAGTTATATATACATATATATTTAAGAAAATTGTCTTTGTCCTCACTGAAATAAAATGGTTTATAGGTACCAATGGCGGAGTCACTCCTGTTGGATTAGTGGCCAGTGTTTTGGGTGGAGGCACAGTAGGTGTAGCGTACTTCTTCATGCAGCTCCTGTTGGTGAAAGATTTGCATCTAACAGTTCCTCAGTGGCCTATCATCTTGTATGCAGCAATAGCTGGCCTGTTTGGATCTTTGCTGGACTCATTCCTCGGTGCAACCGTGCAGTATTCAGGTAAACTGGCTGATTAATATTATAAAATCAAAATGAGGTAAATCAATAGAAATATTATAAGGTAAATAAAATCAAATACTCAATATTATTCCAGGTTTCCTGTACCAGTCATACTAACAGTGGTAATTTACTTGTTATGCAATAGAAACTTCTACCCTCCTTTTACTCTACCTGGGCATGCCAAGTTACTGAGCACTGAATGGGAATCACGTTTTAGTAGGCTCATGGTGATGATGAACTGGGTAAAAATAAAGATTTTCTGATCCATTATGGATTTTTAAAATCCCAAGATCAATCTTTTAATCTATGTGGCTGACTAAAATTGTCACTTTATTTGTAACAAACCTCCTATCCTGCAGATGTCGCTACAGATGCACTCTCAAATCGTCTCACCATAAGAAAAAGCCTCCTCATCTCCTAGAAGCCTAGTAGGGAGGAAACAAGGGGGTAATCCATCGACCGGAAGTTGAAGCCGGCCGGGTGCCGCCATGTTGTAGCAGAACTTCACTTGCGTTAGCATTTCCATTGACTCCCATTCATTTTGGCGTCACTTTGACAGCGAATAACTTTACATCTGAGGCGTTTAAAGACTCCATTTGTCCATTATTTATTTCTAAAGAAACACGACAATGTATAAAGGGCTCCATTACCTTCTATGTTACATTATGGCCCCGTAGAAACCGATTTAGTAAAAATAGGCTAACGATTGCGTCATAACCACTCGACTCTCTGTCGCGCTGTACAGAAAGTACCGTACAGACAGGAGGAGAAGCTCGCAGGCAATCGGGGGGACGTCCCGTCAAGGGAGAAGCCCGTAGATAATGAGTCCATAAAAGCAACGGAATACTTACTCCTGCTCACTCACGCCAAAGAACTCTTTGCTCAAGTTCCTTGTCTCTGCAAGATTAACGTTGGCAATTTTCACGCACAGCTACTAGAAGACTAATGTCTGTCAGACAGGTTGCTCACGCCATCAAGCTTAGTTTGAGTCGGTTTGAGTCTGCGCGTCAGGAACGGAAGTGCTCAAATATCGCCAAAAATGGGCTTCAACTGTCTCAACTGAGTTCCAATGAGATGGCTCTGTCCACTTCTTATACTGTCTATGGGAGGAAAGGACAGAAGTTATGTTAAAGGGTTAGTTCACCCCAAAATGAAAATTCTGTCACTAATTACTCACCCTCATGTTGTTCCAACCCCGTAAGACTTTCGTTCATCTTCGGAACACAAATTTAGATATTTCTGATTAAATCTGAGAGCTGGATCACTCCTCTATAGGCTTCTAAGGGATTGAAACTTGGTTGAGCCACTGTAGTCACTTGGACTATTTTAACGATGTCTTTAACTTTTCTGGGCCGGCAAGTTTCAATCCCTTAGAAGCCTATGGAGGAGTGATCCAGCTCTCAGATTTAATCAAAAATATCTAAATTTGTGTTCCGAAGATGAACGAAAGTCTTACAGGGTTGGAACAAAATGAGGGTGAGTAATTACTGACAGAATTTTCATTTTGGGGTGAACTATCCCTTTAATAGTGCAAAATAAAATTGGATTGGTCAGAAGGCCCAGTCTATTCTGATTGGTCTACCGCTTACAGCGCATCGGAAAACAAAATATTTCCATATCTGAATCCGATTCCCATATCTAATACGAACAGTAACTACAGTGTTGGTTTTATTGTATTAATTCGAGCCAGAATCCTCATCCTTTTTGAAGTGCATGCAAAGTGAATTTGCTGTCACAACGCAGAAAACAGCTTCTTGTCGACAACATGATGAACCAAACTCTTTCAGACCTACAACTACAGTGTTGAGAGCAGGTCAAAGTAGATGTTGTTTGCAGGCAGCCAATGATGACCATAGGCTCGTATTGTGCAAATTTGTTACAAACCTACCGGTAAGTAGGTTCATGCAGGAACTGAATTACTGACGACTCATTTCAGGCTGTTCAAAATCGATTCCTTTTTTTGTGAGACAAGAAGTCCATTTATCATGCACTTTGATCTAAGAAACTTTGCAGACCTTTTACATTCACAACCAGCTATATTACACACGACATAAAAGATGATATCCCAAAAACAAAACAAAATAGGGGGACTTTAATAATAAAAATGAAGGTGTTGATAACAGTTTTGAATATGCTCCTAACTCCAAATCTGCAAACAATGCTGTCCACCTGTTGTTGCATTATAATAACTTTGCATGTTATAATGAACAAAAATATTTGGAAATATGAAAATTTGTAAAGCAGTTCCCTTTCGAGAGGTTCCTCCTATTGCGTAATAGCTTACGCTATGGGAAAACTCCTTTTCTCGAGAAATATTGAAGTCTTTATGTAAGACGCATTGCAGCTGCACAGCATACAGCAATGAGCGAGGCAGCTCGATCATTGGCTGTGCTGCGGCAACTTGCACGAACCAATGACGGGGCGACTCTGAACCCGCTTCCAATGAGCGCGCTTCGCGCCCACGCGCGTCAGAGCCCGCCAAGATGGGCGTGGCCAAGGGCTATATATTGGGCGCCCCGTCGTCTGAGTTCTTTAGATTTAATCTCCTTCAGCAAAGAACCTTCTCTTCGCTGGATCCTCCGGATTTGTTGGAGTCTTTTCGCCGCCGCCGTCGACAAGCCTACAGCAGGACTGCTTCGAGGACGCCGGCGCCTTCAGCCGCCTTCGATCGCCCTTCTGCTAAGCCATCCGGCGCGCATCATCTATATCCTTTTTCAAAAGCTTTCAGTGTTCGCCCCCGCGACACTTTTCTAAAAGAGCAAATTTAACAAGGCGTTGTTTCAAATGCCTCCCTGCGCCTCGTGTCGAGCCCCTCTTCAGGACGGGGATCGTCACATCATTTGCGCCCGCTGCTTGGGACCGGACCACGCAGAGGCTGCCCTTACTCGAGGCGGATGTCCCGAGTGTGACGCCCTGGGCCTCACCGAGCTGCGCGCTCGCTTCGCCGTTTTCACCGCGAAAGAGCCCACCTCTTCCGTGCTGCCATCTCCTCTAGTTGAGCCGCGAAAGAAAAAACGCCGCTCACAGAGGCCGCCGGAGCACTCGGTTTGCAGTGATGTCACGCCGGGCCAATCCCCGCGTGCTTCACCACCACCCGAAGACTCCCCGCCGCCAGTCCAGTTCACACAGGCGGACCAGCACCCCTCCAGCGGAGCGATGGGGCTCGTCTCGTTTGGCGCGTCAGGGGATGACGATGATAAGGATGACAGTTTTTCCTGTGATGCTGCATCCGACGACTGGCCGGGTTCGTCCTTCGACCCCGCGCCATCGACATTAGCGGGCACGAGCGCAGGCTCCAGCATGGACTCGGAGATCGTCCGCATTCTCTCTAAGGCCGTGGAAGACCTCGGGCTCGATTGGTCTTCCCCGGAAGAACCCGCCCGCAGCCGACTGGACGAGTGGTTCCTGCAGGGGCGCCGACAGGCCCCTCGACAAAGACCCTCCCCCTTCTTCCCGGAAGTTCACGACAAACTCACGAAGTCGTGGAAAGCCCCGCACTCCACTCGCCTGAAGCCTTCTTTTTCTTTGTCGCTCTCCTCTGTGGACGGCGCGAAAGAAAGAGGCTATGAGGGGACTCCGCCCCTCGAGGAGGCTGTGGCCAATCATCTGTGTCCACCCTCCAACGCTGGATGGAAAGCTAAAGCTTCTCATCCCTCGAAGCCTTGCCGGTCTACTTCAGCTCTCGCCGGTCCCGCATACGCCGCCGCCGGCCAAGCTGCATCAGCGCTTCACTCTATGGCTGTCCTCCAGGTGTTTCAAGCCAAACTTCTCCGCAGTATGGACGAGTCTGGACCCGATCCTGAGGCATTTAAGGACCTACGCAGCGCCACTGACATAGCGCTGCGAGCTACAAAAGCCACCGCCCAATCCATCGGCCGTGCTATGGCTAACCTGACTGTCCTTGAGCGCCATCTGTGGCTGACGCTAACAGAGATGAAGGATGCAGATAAGGCGTCATTTCTCGACGCGCCTATCTCCCAAAGCGGCCTGTTTGGACCAGCGGTGAAGGAGTTCGCCGAGCGCTTCACCGAAGCCCGTAAGGACTCACAGGCTATGCGTCACTTCCTGCCCAAGCGATCTAGCTCATCGCAGAGCCGCCAACGGCCGCCTCAGCAGCAGCGAGCTAAGACGGCGCCCCCCGTCTCTCAGCCCAAACCTGAAACGGATTTTCGACGCCGCTCGCGCTCTGCCAACAGGAGACAACCGCCCGAGCGACGGGGACCTCGGCCCAAGATTGTGCTGAACCCAGAGCCTCGTAAGTCCTCCTAGCTACAGGGAGGAAAAGGGAGAGCGCGTGTCTCGCAAGAGCCGGACCGTTCTCTCCAAAACGTTTAAAGCATTACCCAGTCCCCTTACAGGCGGCTGGAAATGTCTATACAGCAGCCAATGTGCCAGCCACACAGCTCGCCCACCTGCAAACAAACGCCGTTTTTACGGCGACACACAGAAATCACATAAAGAGCTATTTTCTGCCTGTGTCATTAAAGGGTCACGTGTCCACACCAAAGTGCACATTCCCACATATCAAAACTGTAAACACAGTGCCAAATGTTTTCCCAGCTCAGGCTGGACGCCCCATAAATGTAGATTGTGTGTCAACTGTCACGTATGCACCACTACACACAAGCACTGTTCCCACAGTTATAAACACTTCCCCAGTAAAAGCGGGAAGTTGTATAAGAGTAGCGCGTGTGCCCGCTGTTATGCACGCACCCCAACTCACAAACACTGTTTATATGGCCAAAAACTTTTTTTATGAAAGTGGCGCGCGTGCCTACCACAGTCTATGCACCCCCACCCATAAGCACTATACACACAGTGTTAAACATTTCCCCATCTCACTCTGTGAGCATTACAGCGAGCGTGCCTGTAATCTCACACGCACCCCTGCACTCGGCATTCAACAGAGCTGCTCAGCGCGCGCCCGCGCCGCTGAGAGCTGTGAGCTCGGTATTAACACAGAACGATTCGCTGGCGGGAGCCAAACGTCACTGCGACACGCCCCCGGCCAGCATTCAGCCCATATCTGTGCGAGCGAAAGCTTGGGAAAATATCCCCGACATGCCGAAATGGGTTTTGAACATAATAAAACACGGTTACTCGCTCCAATTCGCTCGCAGACCGCCCCGCTTCACAGCAGTGGTAGAGACGAAAGTGAGAAAAGATGTTTCACATGTTCTACGCACCGAGATGCTCAAACTGATAGAGAAAGGCGCTATAGAAACAGTTCCCCCCTCTATGAGCGAGGCAGGTTTTTACAGCCGCTATTTTCTCGTCCCGAAAAAGGATGGCGGTCTCCGCCCCATTCTAGATCTCAGACATCTGAACAAAGCTTTAATGATTCGCTCATTCAGAATGATAACAACCAAGCATATCCTCGCGCAAGTTCACCCGGGGGATTGGTTTCTGTCAGTGGATCTGAAAGACGCTTACTTTCACATTCCAATAGCGCCTCATCACAGGCCATTTCTGAGATTCGCTTCCGAGGGACAGTCATACCAGTACACAGTACTACCATTCGGCCTGTCACTGGCACCCCGTACATTTACGAAATGTATGGATGCAGCACTTTCCCCCCTGAGACAGCGGGGAGTGCGAATACTAAATTATCTCGACGATTGGCTAATACTAGCACAATCAGAGAGCCAGTTAGTGACACACAGGTCTTAGATTATCAGTCATCTAGAGTGCCCAGGTCTAAAAATCAATTTTGCAAAGAGCATGCTATCCCCCAGCCAGAATATTTATTTTCTGGGAATAGTGCTAGACTCAGTGCAGATGACAGCACGCCTCTCATCAGAGCGTGCGCTCACTATCCGGCGCCTTGCAACATCGTTCAGAGCGGGTGCGCGCGCCCCCGTCAAGGGATTTCAGAGGATGCTCGGTCTCATGGCCTCAGCATCAGCTGTACTCCAGCTAGGATTGTTGCACATGCGTCCTCTCCAACGCTGGCTCAAAAGCCGTGTCCCCACTCACGCGTGGCGCTCGGGCCACTTTTTAATCAGAGCAAATCACGGCTGCATAAAAGCCCTGACGCCCTGGAAAGCTGTCGACTGGTATCAGTCCGGCGTGAGTTTGGGCGTGAACACAAGGAGAAAAATGATCACGACAGATGCCTCCAAAATAGGTTGGGGGGCCCTTTACGAGGGCAGGCCTGTCTCCGGTTTGTGGTCAAACCCGGAGAAGCGCCTACATATAAACTGTCTGGAATTGAAAGCGGTTGCTTTGGCTCTCAGAGCCCTGCTCCCGTACCTGAAGGACGAGCACGTCCTAGTCCGAACGGACAACATGACGGTAGTCTCGCATATAAATCGTCAGGGTGGACTCAGATCGAGCTCCCTGCACTCGATGGCCAGGGAGCTCCTCCTATGGTCCCAGCGCAACCTGCGCTCGCTGAGAGCAGCGCATGTGCCAGGTGTTCTGAACCAGGGACCGGACATGCTGTCCAGAGACAAAGTTCTCCCAGGAGAACGGTCTCTCCACCCCCTGACGATTCAGTGGTTATGGCAAACCTTTGGCAGAGCAGAGGTCGACCTCTTTGCCTCCAAGGAAAATGCGCACTGCCCTCTCTTCTTTTCAAAGAGCACAGACGCGCTCGCCCAAGTCTGGCCGAGCCGCCCGCTGTATGCCTTCCCTCCGGTCGCGATGCTACCTCAGGTCATCAGTCGGATCAGGGAGGAAAAATGTGCAGTGCTCCTGGTAGCCCCACTCTGGAAGAACCAGACGTGGTTTCCAGAACTGATGCAGATGATGCAATCTGCCCCATGGCCGATTCCACTGAGGCTAGATCTCCTCAGGCAGGCCAACCATCCTCCATCCCCGTCCCGATCTGTGGGCCCTCCATGTGTGGCCCCTCAACGGATTCCCGGGAACCTCCCCAGTGGAGTGTTGAGAACCATCACTGAGGCGCGAGCGCCCTCTACGAGGCGCTTATATGCCCAGAAATGGAAGGTGTTCAGTGACTGGTGTAAATCCAGGAACCTGAATCCTGAGACATGCGAAGTACCGAGTGTGCTCGTTTTCTTACAAGAGCTGTTGGAGGCAGGCCGCACCCCCTCCACGCTCAAAGTATATGTGGCTGCCATAGCGGCATCACATGAACCGGTCGAAGGACGCACACTAGGGAAAAACTACCTAGTTGTTTGTTTCCTGAGGGGCGCCAGGAGGATAAATCCCCCAAGCCCCCCCTCGGTGCCGATTTGGGACCTGGCCACGGTCCTGGACGCACTTAAGCATGCCCCGTTCGAACCCCTCCGAACTGTGCACCTTAAACAGCTCTCGCTCAAAACTGCTCTCTTGCTGGCTCTCGCCTCGGTCAAAAGAGTGGGCGACCTGCACGCGCTGTCATCAAGCGCTACCTGCCTGGAGTTTGGACCTAACGACAGCAGGGTTGTCCTCAGGCCAAAACACGGGTATATTCCTAAGGTGCTCTCTACTCCTTTCAGAGCACAGGTGATATCTTTGGCCGCGCTATCGTCCCCAGCAGACGAAAGTGACGCTAATTTACTCTGCCCGGTCAGGGCACTCAGAGTATATTTGGAACGTTCTGCCCTGTTCAGACAGACAGAGCAGTTGTTCGTATGCTTTGGCGGCCGCACTAAAGGTCTGGCTGTGTCAAAGCAAAGAATATCGCGCTGGATAGTTGATGCTATAGCGCTGGCTTATGAAGCCAAGGGCCTTCAGTGCCCCTTGGGCATCAGAGCTCACTCTACGAGAGGCATGGCCTCCTCGTGGGCGTGGTCGAGTGGGATACCCATTCAAGATATTTGTGCGGCTGCAGGCTGGGCCTCACCGTCCACATTTATCAGGTTTTATAACCTACAGGTCCCCTCATTGCACTCTAACATACTGTCGGTCTAACTATGCATAGGCTGGGGTGTGTACATGCTGAGCATTGTCTCCTCCCTCATAGAATCCGTCTTTGACTGATGTAGAGGATTTTTCATACATGACAGTACGTAAAAATGTGCTTGTGTGTGTCTCTGGACGCCCATCGGGCCGTTCCAAGTTGTCCTTTTATAAAGCCCGCCTTCGGCTGGCTCGTTGGATAATTACTTTGCTCGAAGGCTCAGACATCTGCCTCCGGCTTAATAGAGCGAAGTCAGCATGCACGGCGTTTTACATGGCGTTCCCATAGCGTAAGCTATTACGCAATAGGAGGAACCTCTCGAAAGGGAACGACTCGGTTACTGACGTAACCTCGGTTCCCTGAGAGGAGGGAACGAGTATTGCGTAATCTGCCGTGCTTGTGCTTGGTCAGTTTGCTTCAGTCGATTGAACCTAAAGAACTCAGACGACGGGGCGCCCAATATATAGCCCTTGGCCACGCCCATCTTGGCGGGCTCTGACGCGCGTGGGCGCGAAGCGCGCTCATTGGAAGCGGGTTCAGAGTCGCCCCGTCATTGGTTCGTGCAAGTTGCCGCAGCACAGCCAATGACTGAGCTGCCTCGCTCATTGCTGTATGCTGTGCAGCTACAATGCGTTTTACATAAAGACTTCAATATTTCTCGAGAAAAGGAGTTTTCCCATAGCGTAAGCTATTACGCAATACTCGTTCCCTCCTCTCAGGGAACCGAGGTTACGTTAGTAACCGAGTCGTTTTGTTTTAAAATAAAAAATGTTTGTGGTAAAAAGGTCAGTGTGACATAGCCAACACGCAAAACATGCTCTTTTATCATATTGGACAAACTTATTTATGATTGACCTTTGTGCTTAGTTTTCTTTCAGTATTTCTTTTAAATTATTCATGATGACCATTTCTCTCTCTCCATCAAGGATACGATGAATCCATTGGGAAAGTTGTGAGTTACGAGTCACCAAGTGTTAAACGAATATGTGGGAAACCCATCCTGGATAACAACGGAGTGAATCTGTTTTCTTCCGTCCTCATAGCACTGTTCCTGCCTGGGTTTGCTTGGATATTCTGGCCTAGGCTCTGAGTCATGTGATTTTATTGGGCGCATGTCAGTTTATGCAAAAAACAACAAAAAAACAAAAAACATTATAATACAGTGACTTCTTAAGAATTTAATAAAGTACAATGTGAACTCTCAATTTCTTTCTTTCTACTTATTATATTAAGATTTGTAATTGATTTTAAAGGTGAAGTGTGTATTTTTTTGGATGTTAAATCCCTTACATATATTCCCAGCCTTAAAATTAGCCATCAAATAGGTCAATTCATTTAAAGCAGTACAACACAGTACACCAAGCTCAAAATACTGTAAAATCTAAATATTTCTATCTCACTACACGTCAGATCACTTCATTAAACAAACACTATGCAATTTATGTAGTCCATTTCTCACATTACTTAAACATTTTGAGTAAATATGATTTTCTGTACTTTTACACAAAATATATTATGTCTCTCTATGCCACTTATGTCTACTGTATGTCAAAGATTGACACATTTAAGTATTCCATTGTAATGTATGTGTACTTCATGGAATAAAGTACCCTTACCATAATGTTTTCATTGTCATGTTACATGGGTCAGTAGCATTGCATCATTGAAGATTAGGGCATATTGTTTGGACATACTGTTTTTGCTTACTATTCTGCATAGTATGCATATTCATAGTGCCATATGGTTAAGCAACCAGTGATCTTCATAGTTACTGTTAAAGTAATACTTTTTTAAAGGATCACCGTCAAACAATGTATTATTGTTTCAGTAATTTGTTTAATTTCTTTTTTTCTTTTGATGACAGTGGTGAATAATATGAGATGTTTACAGTATACACTTGTAGTGAACGGTAGATGGCAGTACACTCTCCTTTTGTCCAGTACACAACTGAAAGAAAGAAGATGTGAGGGAGGCTTAAAGACACATGGTGCTGTTTGGGCGGTTAATGACAACTAGCCTATAACAAAGAACATAAAGCCCTTTCCTCCAGGGGGAGCCTGATGGCCCATGAAGACGGAGAGTCAATAGCACCTCATTCAAGTCTACAGAGGTTTTTCGTCTCACTGGAGATATTTGTACACTGAAACGAATAATCTTTTAAATGAGATTGATGCACAGATTGCCATCTGACAATCATATGTAATGTAGCCCAATTAATATGTATACAATTATTTTTAAATGCATCCGAATCCAATAATCACAAACGACTGTGATTAGTCCATCGAGCTCCGCTGAGAAAAGTGACATATATCACGTGACAGACGTCAGCAGTGTGGTTTGGACAGTATTTCTTATCCGAGTAATGTCATTGATGACCGTTAAAACTATTTTTTTTTTTAGATACAAAGTGAAAGTAACCATTGGATAATTATTACTTACAACAATCGTACCAGACCAATCAGAGACAAAGCCAAAAGCCGATAAGCCCGCCCCTTTAAAAGTACATCTTTATGCTATTTTCCGTTCTAATGCGCAGTCTATTTCTTACGCATGCGCAGTGTGTAACGGAACGAGTCAACGGAAGAAGTTGGAAACAAGACTGTTTGTCAGTCCATATATTTTTAAAGAAAGAAGCAATGGGTGTGTATAATTATTTACATTACAATCATTTATATTATTTTCTGTTAGATCTGTAATGCCCAGAGCTACAGTATTTCTCATGGCTGGGCTGTTGATGTAACGTTAGAGGATCATAGCTTTGAAGTACACAGTACATCATGTTGGATGAGACTGATAGGTTATTTTCCGGCATGTAACGTTATTATTAGTTGTTAGTTGTGTTTTTGTTACAATATTTTTACGTATAAGTTAATATACATGTGTATGTGTATATGCAAAACATTGTTAAACATTTTCATAAATGTTTGTATATCTCTGTCTCTGTAGAGTCTGTCCCTCCTCTCTCCTCACTTCGCCTGCTGGTTTCTCCCCTTCGTCTTACATCTGCCTTCATGTGGCAAGTTGTCCAGAATCAGAATGTGGAGCAGTTTGGAAAACTGGAAGAATTTGTTTCCGTGATGACAAACCTCGTGCCAGAACTCTTAAGTAGGAGGCAGAGAGCCACTTTGATAGTAGGGCTGCGAGCCAAGGTTAGATGTGTTTATGTATTTGTTACTGTTTTCATTGAACTATTGTCTGCTCTGCTCTCCTCCAGTTACAGTGGTAAAATGTGTCAGTCCAATGTTACGTAATCTATTCTTGCACATGTATGCAACACATTTCCTGACACCCAGACATAATATAGCCTATTCAGTGTGCGTGAAGAAGACTTACTACCTGTGTGTCATTTCACAAAAGCAACTATCACATTCTTAAGTAAGAAAGAAATTATAGTAACGTTAGTTATGGCTCATAAGAGCTAATAGTCAATTTTATAATTGTTGCAGCTTTGACGTATGCGGCCAACCAATGCAACCTTCACAGCCTTTGAAATGACTCTACTTGCTTTCAGAACAATATGCAGAAGCAATATTTAATAATAGTTTAATTGTTGAGCATTCTGCTGAAGTTACAAAAGTGTTTTTTATTTTCAAAAAGTGGAATGTGGGCTAAATCTTTCAGTTCTTAAGGAGATGCATGCTCTTTAATTTTGTTAAAGAGCATTTCATTTTTCTTAGTTTTTTCATTGTTAATAAAACCCAAAGAGTAAAGTGTATCTGTCAATTTGAATTTAAAATGAAAAGGATTTATGGGCTAGTTTGTGACTTAAACATGAGAAAAACTAGTCCATTGTGAACTAATTGTTGTATGTTTTGTTCACTGTGGATAATCTTTTAGATGATTCTTGAGATGTGTCGAGGCGAACTCCCCGCGGACCTTCACACTGTCAAATCACACATTCACCAAATTAAGACTACTGATTTATTAAAGGTATGTGAAGCCTCCACTTTTTTCTATTACACTAATATTAAATCCAAATTTTAATTAACAAGTGCTGATGTTTGAGGGCAATGCATTATACATGTTTAGAATGGCCAGTACTGATCTAGTAATTTTAATAAAACCCAACTGAAACACTTAAAATGCAAATCTTCCCTTTGCAACTGCATTTACAAGATGATTCTGAATAATATCAGAATACTCTGATTATGGATGTATGGTATTATGATTAAATATATAGTCAATTTTTGATTTTATGCAGAAAACCGATTCCCCTGTAGAACATCAGTAAATGACCTCAGGTTTCCTCGGATCCTTAAAGTCTTAAAATGTAAAAATAATTTTTTATGTAAAAATAATTATTTACCATTAAAATGTCTTTAATACACTTTTCAAAGGTGTTCAAAATGCAACTGAACAGACACAGCAGTAATCGTAAAATAAGTCTAATAATTAAAACACAAATGTATTACTTTTGATATAGGCTATAACTATTTTTATCCCCAAATAAAAATCTATTATTATTATTATCATATATTTTCAGTCCAGTATTAATATTACAAATTTATTTTTATTTTTTTAAGTCCAGTGTTAATTTTTTAATGTATATCCCTGACCAGGGTGATTTTGTTTGTTCACATTGAAGCCAATGGAAGGTTTTGAAAATTAGAGAGAGCAGTTGCCATTAAAAAGGAATGAAACCGCTTCACAGTCTTTTCAACCACACAATATCATTATTTCTGTTACAGTTATTCAATTTATCACATAAGTACTGGGATAAAAGTTTAAAGTTTAGATATAAACACTGATGTATGATAGCGACCAAAATAGAGCAAATCACATTTTGAAAGTAACTTGACGCTTCAAATAACGATTGTATCAATTACATCGTTACACCAGTAGGTGGTGACAAGTGACTGTTAAAAATGTATTTGTCATTAAAGGGATACTCCACCGTTTTTTCATATTAAACTATGTTATTCTCTTATCTAAGACGAGTTGATACATACCTCTCTCGTCTCAGTGCGTGCACTGAATCGCTCTGTCGGGCGGAGAACTTTGAGAGCAGTTAGCTTAGCCCCATTCATTGTATATGGGCCAAACAGAGATGAAGTTAGAAGCGACCAAACACATCCACGTTTTCTCTATTTAAATATAGTTACACGAGTAGTTACACGACCAAGTATGGTGACACTAAATAAAATGTGGCGCTTTTTATAAGCGGGTAAAATGGATAACTATAATGTATGGCGGAATAGCACTTATTGGGAGCACTTCGACTCGGCGCTGTAATATCTTCACTCGTGAAAAGTCCTCTCCCCCTCTCCCTCTCCCTCTCCCTCTCCTCTCCCTTTAAATCATTCATTCAAGAGATTCATTAAAAAACACTGATTCATCCAGTATTTAAACAAGTGAAGTCTTTATGACGGAGTCATTGAATCATTTTAAATAGATAAAAAAAAATCAAATTAATTAAATATTTTTTAAATTAAACAGAACCTCTAGTAATTTACATGTTATTTTGTTTAGTTGTCTATTCAGAGAATTATGATGTCTATTTTAAACAAAAAAAGAAAACATTTCTTTAAAATAAGAAAAGATTTTAGAATCCTGCATTATAATTGTCCCAGATCCGTGTTAATGTACATAAAGACTTCATCCTAGTTTGTAAATTTGTACATTTTACATCCTAGTCTGTACATTTTAATATTAGAAACTGTGCAAATAGTATAAGTTAGATGCCAGATATATTATATATTCTTTTAAGCATAATTTATGATTCTGGATAATTTGGATTTTTTTTTTTTAATAGATCATGGTTCTCCCATTATACTGAAGACAAAACATTAGACAACTAAACAAAATAACACGTAATTTACTTGAGGTTCTGACAATATGTGTCTAAATGTTATGTCTATTAAAAAATACTTATTTAAATTAATTGTATAAAAAGTCGTTTGAAATGAATGAATGAACTTGATTCGTCCAGAGTTTTTGAATGAATCTCTTGAATGAATGATTCAATGATGCATCAAATACATTTTAATAGTCACTGGATGCCACCAACTGGCATAACAATGTAATGGATACAATGTTTATTTGAAGTGTAACATTAGTTTCGAAGGTAATTTATTCATTTTGATTGCTTAAACAATTTTTATCCCAATACTTGAATTATTATTTGATGTTTGCAACACAGAAATAGCAATACTGTGTGGTTAACTGTTAGTGAAGCATCAGTGGTTCTCAAACCTGTCTGGAGTACCCCCAGCCCAGGGCTCTACGCTTACATTTCTTTTTTAAGAGCACTTAAAAATTTAGGAGCACCTTCTGATCAATGAAAGCAATTAACCTTCCCATTATGAGCCGATATTTGACTCTTTAAAATGACTTTGCTCGGGCATGTTTTTAACCTTTGTAAGGGCATTTTTCAAACTTTATTAAATGTCATCTTTAATGTCAAATTCATAAATTTATATTTATAAATTGAGTTAGAATAATAAGACTCAATCAGGAAGAATACGTTTCCAAAAATTAATCTTTGCACTGCAGAGGTGGCATAGAAGAACCAAAAGCTGGGATTTACAGACTGTTTAATGAGGCTCAGAAGGGGCTTGAATGCATTTAAATTCATAATAACGATGTTATAAGATTTTTGAATGTAGAAATATGTAGAAAGTTTTGAATGTAGAAATATAACTGTCACCCCCCTTTTTTGAATATACATGAAAATGCACATTTCGAACATAAATGGTTGTAATTCAAGTATGCTTTGGAATATAGACGTAAGATTGGTCTCCTTTTAAAGAAGACATTTGGCAGATTTTTGAAGAAGTGAAATAAATTAAGAAAGTGAAACAGAAAAAAGTTTTAGAAGTTTGAGTTTATGAAAATGTACAATGTAAAAAAATTAATTATTCATATTTTATATAAAATATATATTTTCAAAACCTGGGTGACTCTAAAACTGCAAAAAAATCAAAGCCAAAAATCTGAACAAGTTGTGTTTCAAATTTTAGGTTGATATCTCAAAAAATGAGCTTGCCGTAAGATTTTGTTTGGGCGCAGTACCGAACTTTTTCACTAGATGACAACCAGACTCCATTACTGCCCATATAAGGGCGCCTCCATTTCCATATGTGTTTTGAGTGATCTGAACCATTATTTCCACAATTTTTATACAATTTATGAAGTAGACATCCTATTCAGAAGTAATATGAGAAGTTTGGCAGATTTTGATATGAATTCAACCTCTAAGAAACACATAAAAAGAACAAGTATGTGCGTTATAGCTTCCTGCCACATCACAAATGGTGAATCTATAATTTTTTTCTTTATATTTTAAAAAAATTCAGACCTTTTTTTCTAAAATAATTGAATGAATGCTATCTTTTGAACTCTTGGCATGAAAACAAACTGAGGTTTCTACCCTTCTTTCATGATTTTTCATGTTCATCACTATTTCAAAATAAAGGTCTGAACACACCTTAGGAGTATGAAAATATTCTTGTTGCAAATTGATAAATTAAGGCTCCTATGTAATTTATTTTGAAAATCAATCACCAAATATGGAAACTAGAGATTGTAGATTCACTCACTAGCGATCTTTCAAATGATATATAGTTTGTCAAGATTAGTTTAGGTTTAGTATAGGATATTACTGTTTTAAAAATGTAATGGATTTGGGCCCACCAGTGGGCCGGTGACACTTAAAGTCCCCATGAATTCAAAATTGACCATACTTACTTTGTTTGCCTAAAGTGATCATTTTGTGGTGAACAATTCATCCATGTAAGTCAATCCACACACACAATTTTTTTGGCTTCGTAATCTCTTTAATCAAAATGTGAAATTTCCCCTCCCCTCTGCATTTGAGGACCTTCCCTGATGACGTAGGTTTGACGGTTTGGGTGTCTGCTTAACATCCGTAACCACACCCCTCCAACTGACAGTAGACAGGCTGAATGAAAACACCTACTTTTCTAGATCCAATCAGGTGCTAGTTGGAAAAAAAAGCCACGCCCACTATTTTGCCTCATTTAGTATTCCGTTTCTCTCGGAAATACGTCACAACACTGGAGAAAAGTCGTTTGCAACTTCTGGTTCACGGGGACTTTAAGAGATAACGTGAAATTAAAAAATTAGTTAAATTTTAAAATTTAACTAAAACCACCAGTAGGGGGTGGCGAAGTCACTGTGTCACTGAATCATTCATTCAATTGATTCGTTCAAATGGTTGATTCATTCAGGAACAAAGCAAGCAACTGTCTTTATGAATGGGTCATTGTATCATTGACTCACTAGATTCATTTGAAAACACAGATTCATTCATAAAGTAAACACCCGTGTTTGCTCGGAGATGCCCAGCGGTTCAGCTGTGACTATTTTTGTTGACGAAATAGAGCAAAATCGGACAATAATGTTCCTAAAATGTAAGTCACTTAATATTAACTTCATGTTCATTGAATTGTTGTATAAAATCAATATTACATTTGCAAACTCCCTTTATAATCATTAAAAAGCTGTCACTTGTCTCAGTTCATCGTGATCTCACAAACTTCCCCTATAATCAATGAAGTTGTCTAGACTGCACAATGAATCTCTTATTTACAACGTGTCTGTACTTTGTTATAATGAGAGGATTCACGAGCTTGCATGACTCGGCTCTGAACAAACTCCAGCTTTTTATGGGTTAACTTAAATGCCTCTGGCTATTGTGTCTCAAGAAATCACCAGATATGTCTGTGATTGGCTACATTGCTCAACTCTGCAAAAACACGTTCTCTCATCCCGCTCTCCAGAGTGCAAACACAAATACGCACTGTCTGGCACGTTTGCAAAATCTGTTTGGACAATATGCTGGTATTAGTTTCAACTAGAACCGGGCCTGATTTTGCAGGTTTTCCCACTTACAAAGCATGTGGAAGTCTGTAATTCTTATCATAGGTACTCTTCAACTGTGAGTGACAGAATCTAAAACCAAAATCCAGAAAATCACATTGTATGATTTTTAAGTAATTAATTTGCATTTTATTGCATGACATAAGTATTTGATCACCTACCAACCAGTAACAATTCTGGCTCTCACAGACCTGTTAGTTTCTCTTTAAGAAGCCCTACTGTTCTCCACTCATTACCTGTATTAACTGCACCTGTTTGAACCCGTTACCTGTATAAAAGACACCTGTCCACACACTCAATCAAACAGATTCCAACCTCTCCATAATGGCCAAGACCAGAGAGCTGTGTAAGGACATCAGATAAAACAGTAGACCTGCACAAGGCTGGGATGGGCTAGAGGACAATAGACAAGCAGCTTGGTGAGTAGGCAACAACAGTTGGTGCAATCATTAGAAAATGGAAGAAGTTCAAGATGACGGTCAATCTCCCTCGGTCTGGGGCTCCATGCTAGATCTCACCTCGTGGGGCATCAATGATCATGAGGAAGGTGAGGGATCAGCCCAGAACTACACGGCAGGACCTGGTCAATGACCTGAAGAGAGCTGGGACTACATTCTCAAAGAAAACCATCAGTAACACACTACGCCGTAAAGGATTAAAATCCTGCAGCGGACACAAGGTCCCCCTGCTCAAGCCGCATGTCCAGGCCCGTCTGAAGTTTGCCAATGACCATCTGGATGATCCAGAGGAGGAATGGGAGAAGGTCATGTGGTCTGATGAGACAAAAATAGAGCTTTTTGGTCTAAACTCCACTCGCTGTGTTTGGAGGAAGAAGAAGGATGAGTACAACCCCAAGAACACCATCCCAACCATGGAGGTGGAAACATCATTCTTTGGGGATGCTTTTCTGCAAAGGGGACAGGACGTCTCCAGGGCCATGAATGGATGGGGCCATGTATCGTGAGATCTTGGCCAACAACCTCTTTCCCTCAGTTAGGGCATTGAAGATGGGTCATGGCTGGGTCTTCCAGCATGACAATGACCCGAAACACACAGCCAGGGCAACTAAGGAGTGGCTCCGTAAGAAGCATCTCAAGGTCCTGGAGTGGCCTAGCCAGTCTCCAGACCTGAACCCAATAGAAAATCTTTGGAGGGAGCTGAAAGTCCGTATTGCCCAGCGACAGCCCCGAAACCTAAAGGATCTGGAGAAGGTCTGTATGGAGGAGTGGGCCAAAATCTCTGCTGCAGTGTGTGGAAACCTGGTCAAGAACTACAGGAAACGTATGAACTCTGTAATTGCAAACAAAGGTTTCTATACCAAATATTAAAGGGGTCATATAATGGTACATGCACTTTTACAAGTTGATTGTACTGAAATGTGTGTTGGCAGAGCCTGTACACAAACATCATATAATGATAAAAATCCATCCAGTGTTTTTGTTTTAATCTCCTTATATGTTTTCCCCTGCCTCAAATTGAGCCGTTCGTTTTTGTGACGTCAATAAAACGGACGCCCCTCCCACTATTGTTGATTGACAGCCGGGTTTCAACACAGACCCGCCCTCGCTCGTGAGAGCTGTCAATCATAGTCTGTGCGGACCGGCGCGGTCATTGTTGATATGCTGGAGCACTGTCTATGAGCAGAATGGCGTCTAAGCGATTGTGGTGTTCTGTTCTTGGGTGCAATAACGAACACAGCAGTCATTTTAATGTTCCTAAATCCGAACCGCTGAAGACGCAGTGGCTGAGTTTGTTTTCGAAGGGAATATTCCCCACGAGCAACGTCAATGCTTTCATATTTGCGCGAATCATTTCACACACCAGACTGCTTATAAACGAGGAGGGTCAGTATAAAGCTGGTTTTGCTAAGAAGTACCAACTATTCGTGTTCCTGCTGAACCTCCAAAATAACTGAAGTGAGTGTATCGTTTTATTAATCTTTAATATTTATATTAATCTTTGCAAATCGCTAGATGCACGCTTCACAATGAATGCGTCTAAGGTTTACACTCAGGGTACATTACGGCATGTTTTCTATGTACGACGTTCTCAATATAATTAATAATCCCACATCTATAATGAACAACGCGTTATGGCGGTGTACACAGAACAGAGAGGCGGGGTGAGCAAAACTCATTATCATTTAAAGTCATATGCACTGAAACGGCGTGCTGAAAACAGAGCTGTTTTTGACCAGGTAAAATAAGTGTTTTCTTACAATACTAATGAGAATTTTTAATTAAAGTATATTACAAAGTTTTAATTTAAACTCTAAAGAATCATATTAGCTTGTACAAAAATGGCATTATATGACCCCTTTAAGGTCTGCTTTTCTGATGCATCAAATACTTATGTCATGCAATAAAATGCAAATGAATTACTTAAAAATCATACAATGTGATTTTCTGGATTTTTTTTTTTATATTCCGTCACTCTCAGTTGAAGAGTACCTATGATAAAAATGACAGACTTCTACATGCTTTGTAAGTGGGGAAACCTGCAAAATCGGCAGTGTATCAAATACTTGTTCTCCCCACTGTATATCCAAATTAATTGATGATAAATTAAATCAAGATCTTGTGAATCAGAATCCAATCGATTTGTGAAATCTGTGTCAGTACCACCAGCCCTACATCCGGTCCCGGTTCCGGTCCACCTCTGATGAAGACATTGAACTTTTTGTACATACCAGTCCAGTACCGTGACATGTTTAATCAGGAAGTGGATTGAAGACAGTGCCGGCCAAAACAATATGGATGTATTATTGAGAGACTCTATAGAGAGAAATGCATGTTAAGTTGAACATGTCATGCAGTAAGTGCTATACTAATTTAGTTTACACATAAACACTTGGATATGCGCCGAATGATAGCGCACATTTACCTTGGTTAATATTAAAGTGAGTGGCCATGTAAAGACCGAGGCTAATGTTAGTCTACTACTTACATGTTTCAAAAGCCAAGTTTGAAGTCTATAAATGATAGATGAATGTTTACCTACACAGTTTGCCACTTCTAGCGACACTACTAGAGCTGGCTATTAGGGGACAGCCCTAGTACAGAGACCAAGTGAAATTGCAGGTCAACTCCACCAACACTTGAAGCTTATAGCAGGGAATCAGCAACGTCATATGCTGTGAACTTTGCTGTGAACACTGCTGTCTCTCCTCTGGATGAGCTTAGCACCTTCTTTGCTCTCAACAACATTAAGCACAATGCCGCCCTCACAGAGAAAGCTCTTGTTGGGTGATTCTGCACAGGTTGGTTCACTCTCTGCACAGTATGTGTATATGTACAGCTCTAATGTCTGGACTACACACCTATGCTTTTCACACATCATTTACTAGTTAGTACTGTTGTCACAAATTTGGCTTGAGTTGACTTTCTGTTTTCATGTTTTTTAATGATTTGAGTATATGCATTAAAAACTTGTCTTCCTCAGGTTGGTGTACATCCCATTTGATATCATTAAACTTGATATATATAAGCATATTTACATATATATTTACCTGTCCACAGGTGAGTGACACAGACATGGAGAGCTTACAAGACAGCGTACTTCAACTCGTACTGAGCTTGCTAGAGGACTCCATGAAAAGAGAATATTTCTTTCAGGTCAGTGCCTTCAAGATCCATTAAAAAAATCAGAGACCTTAAGTATGAAATGTTCCAGATGAAAAAACATGCATATATAGATGTCTACATGATGTATGTTTGCTGTCCGAATAGGAATTTGCTGAGGATGATGTAATATTTAGGGTGAAAGGAAATGCATTGATAGTGATCCCACTTAATGCCCTTTCTCACCAAATTTGATGCAGAAAAGCTAACTGAATCTCAAACTAATAATTAATTCACACCCGGAGCAAAACTTTTTTTTGTCAGGCTAAACAAAACTCATGTTGGAACAATGTAAATGCATTTTTTCAGCTGCTCTGCCATCTGACTATCAGGGAAACAGATGCAAGAAGTTCAACACTCTCACGTGACCATTAACTAATGTTTGTTGCATGGTGGAATTTATTTACCCGAGGTCAGCACCAAAAAAATAAATGCTGAAATCCATAAATTGTTGTTGTATTAATTAGGGATGTAAATTTCCACAAATTCGCATGATCGATCGTCGTTTAAATTAATGATCAATTAATCTTTAACCTTAACAGGCTACTGCAAGAACTACTGCAGTATATAGGCTGCGTTTACACTTTGCATTAACATGCGATTTGTATCCGGATGCTGTCCACATACACATTGAAAAGACAAGTGTAAACGCGCTTCTGATCGGAATGTTAATCGATCAGCGTGTCCAGGTTCGGAGGTAGTCGAGGACGCATTGTGATCGGATCTCAGTGTAATGTAAACCAATCCAGCCATCGTGTCTGCATTCACAGGTGGACGCCACACAAAACCCCGCCCACTGTCATTATTCCCCCTCCTCTCTCCAGGAATTGCTGCACGTAGCTGTGTGGTTTTGCAATACAGTTGAGTGCGAAGTACATTGCAAATATACTGACATGTTTGCCTTCGCACCCGAAAGTTGCAGAACCATTAATTTTCTGTAAAGAACGCGCATTTTTCCCACCACAGCTGGCAACGTTCTCGGACCCATACGTTTCTCTGTACCATTTCCATTACAGCATCTATCCACGTTATTAGCACTTGCAGCCTCTTCATCCTCCTCATTTTGCGAGATTTGTAAAATGTCCCCTGACTGAAAACTGTTTAAAAAAAACCACCACCGACTTTGCACTGGAGTCATCCTTTTTTTTTTTTCTTTTTTTTTTTTGTGAGATCCAATCTGTTATCCAGATACAGAAACCACTTGATGTGTACAGGTGTAAACGCACCGTGTCCTGATTGGCTTATGATCCGATCTGCTTGATGTTAATGTTAATGCCAAGTGTAAACGCAGCCTAAGTCACTGCCATGACAGGATGTGCAATGACACTCAAAATGCAAGCATCCTCACCCAAAAGAAAGGGTTTTTACTGTAAATAAAAGGCTAGTAGGATTAAAAAATGAATCGATGATCGTTTATTTATTAGAATTATTTCATAATCAAATATAATGACTAATATAACGCAGTCTCAGATGCGCACTCTGGCAACTGGTGCATGCGTGCGTCCATGTCAGCAGTTTTTCTTACTGTAAGCATCCTATTTTTCCCCCAAATGTGTTGTGAACTTTTTCTTCTTAAAGTGTAGAAAAGTCAGAAGAGCAGACCAGGAGACGGAGAGGTATCTTTTAAAGCAGATGTTCTTTATTAGGTCGCTGTAGCATCTCAATCTCGTCCAACTAAGGGAAATGTTCCCTTACAATTTATACATTTAGAGGGGGAGGAGTTTACATTGGGGTGGAGTCCCTCTGAAACAAAGCATGCAAATGAAGTAGGAACACACCCTACTCTGAGGGCATTACCAATCCAATTGAATCAGCATAACTATTCAAATGCTGATAGTGGCCAGGAACTCTGGTTCCTAAGAGCCATCCCAGAGCCATTAAAGACAAAAGGTGAAAGTCTCCCCGACAGCTAATCCAATCAACCTAACGATTCTATCTAAGCTGAAAGGAGAGAAAACAGGACTATCAGGAAAGGAGACTCTTGCTGGAGACTCAATATTTCATCTGAAATCAGTCTACTGAACTTTATCAGTTTTATACCAGTGGAGTGGAAACCTAAATTAAACATTTGACAAATTTGTATTCCTTCAGGATATTGTGCATATTAAGGAAAATCTGGAGGAAAGAGCCCACGTTTACTCGTGAACTTTATAGTTATTAGCCCACTTCAGCGGTCTTTAAGTTGAGATTTACGTACCTCACATGGATAACATTCTCAGGGCTCGACATTAAGCCTTTTCACATCTTGTCCTTCGGACAAGTAAATCTGTCATTCACTTGTCCGAGTAAAAAAGTTGCTTGTCCGGATTTTCTTTTTACATTTCTTTGTGTTGAAAATATAATTTATTCTAAAGCAATATTCTCATCAGTGTTCAATCAGCTTTGATATATTTAAATCTGCATATTGTCATATCTACACCTTTAAAGGGCATTTCCCCCTTAAAGCTGCAGTAGGGAGTTTTGAGAAAACGTTGACTTAGCCTGAAAATTTGAACAAGCACAACTTACAGGTCCCACCCCCTTGCTCTCTGCTGCGCTACAGCCCTCCCTCCACAGCTCGTCCTCCACAGCGGAGCCTGCCGTGAACGCGCAGGCTAGTAAACAGGGCCACCGATAACAGCGGATAAAAAGTTATATGGCACATTCACTAATAGGGACTAAACGTCAATAATATGCTTTACATTGACTATGGCCTGCCAATACTTTGACTACAAACTTGGTCCTCAAATCATTATGTATTTTGCAATAGCCTACATGTAACTTTATAACGTTGCACTCTTTCTATAAGTTATAAATAGCTAGTAAGATAACGTTAATATAACGGTAACTAACATTACAGTATGTAAGTAATTATTCTAGCGATATATAATGCTAGATAAGGTGTGCTAGTACATTATTTCAGCAACATGACAAGCCAGTGAATTAGCAGGTTTCAATTGTTGCTTAGCAGAGTGCGTGACATTTATCTACATGTTATGCGGCTAGAGTTTTGACACCGAGTCAATGGGCTCTGTGTAATACTTTCTTTTTCGCTTGTTTATCGTCATCAGTCTTTTTCCTTTTACCTCTTGTTTTATGAGCAGGTGTCACTCGAGAATTGGCAGTTTAGGTTGTTTCTCCGTCATAAGCACAGCTGCAGCACGCCGGCAATCTTGAGTTTGAACGACGGCTCGCGCTGTGCAAGAGAGGGGTGTGATCAGCGCGTACACGAGCGTGATTGACACTGCTAAGTCATTCCTCCTGGCTCTGATTGGTTGTTTCTGACCGGGAGTGTGTATTTCTTGCAAATGGCAATAGGACCACTGGGAGGAGCCAGAGGAGCTTGATTTTTACACAGATTATCTGTCTCATATTCTACTGTCAGGACATAATGACAGTTTTAGCAATACATTTTTTCAAAAGTTACCTACAGCAGCTTTAATCTTATTAAATGTATGCTTCATCTTTCATTTTAAATTCCTAAATTTGATCAATAAATTCAATTAGAATAATAAGGCACTATAGGGCTGTTATTTTTTTATCGGCAGCGCAAGTTACCGTCAGTAATACATTTATTAACCACTATCGATCACAACTAACAGTAAATCAGAATAAAAAAAAACGATACTCGGTTACTAACGTAACCTCGGTTCTCTCTAGAGAGGGAACGAGTATTGCGTAAGTTTAGCTTACGCTACGGGAAAGATTCATCTTCTCGAGATATTGAAGCCAAAAAATTATCCTTAATTTTGTATTCATTGTCAACGCAGTGCAGCAGCTAGCAGACCTAGAGCAGGCCATCTCGCGTGCTTATTGGCTGCCCTGCATGCATCTGCTGCAGCCTACCAGTGAGCCCCGCGTGACGTCACACCCAATGAAGGGCGCTCGCGCCTTCATAGCGTCATAGCCCGCCAGAATGGGCGTGGCTTAGCGTATATAAGAAGGGGCTCGTAGGCTGAATTCCCTGGTTTTTCGACAACTGAAGCGAAGTCGCTCGTGGCGCGAGCACGGCCGGTTACGCAATACTCGTTCCCTCTCTAGAGAGAACCGAGGTTACGTTAGTAACCGAGTATCGTTCTCTTACGAGAGGTTCTCTCGTATTGCGTAAGTTTAGCTTACGCTACGGGAACACTTTGTCAACGCCGTGCGCGCCAAGCATCCACCATGAGGCCCCGAACTTTCAGGGAACCCCTATGAGGTGGAGAATAAGGTGGCCAGCTACGCGGGCCATCACTTGTACATAAGCACACATAGGGAATACAGAGCACCGCGCCGGTCTGTATAGGCACATGGCTCATACCCCACTTAGTGCAGCTCAACCAGGAGAGCTGGGTCATGTGAGAGTGATCTGAGCAGGAGGTCTGGGCAGAATACACCTCTCCTCTAAACCGACAACAGTTTAGCCTGCAAGGCAGGAACTTCCAGGTTATAAAACCTGACAAAGGTAGACGGGGAGCTCCAGCCCGCCGCCACACATATGTCATGGATAGAAATTCCACTGGACCATGCCCACGAAGAGGCCACGCCTCTCGTGGAATGAGCCCTGATGCCCAGAGGGCATTGCAGACCTTTTGACGCGTAAGCGGCTGCTATAGCGTCCACTATCCATCTGGACAGGCTCTGTTTCGAGGAGGCGAGACCTTTGGTGCGCCCACCGAACGAAACAAACAGCTGTTCCGAACGCCTGAATGAGGCGGAGCGCGTAATGTAAAACCTCAGCGCTCTGACAGGGCAGAGGAGGTTCACATCACTTTCGCTGTCAGATGCTGGGAGCGCTGACAACGAGATGACTTGCGCTCTGAACGGAGTGCCCATCACTTTCGGAACATAACCATGTCTAGGTCTGAGGATGACTTTAGAGTCATTCGGCCCGAACTCAAGACACGACGCGCTGACAGACAGCGCATGTAGGTCCCCCACACGCTTTACTGACGACAGTGCAGTCAGAAAGACGGTTTTTAGTGATAGATATTTCAACTCCACAGAATCCAGTGGTTCGAAGGGAAAAGCTTTCA